AAAAAAAAAAATAAAAAAATAAAAAAATAAAAAAAAAATAATAATAATAATAAAAGCAAGAAAAACTTACGTCTGCTCACTGAAGACTATAGTTTCCCTGTTGCCTCTACGTTTGATACGTAATGGTACTTTTGAATTTGTGGGAAAAAGGATTTTGCTGTATTACTGTTTTTCCAAATCAGCTGTGTTTAGCTTGTTTTAGGATTTCAGGCTGCTTCTTTTTTAAAGAATTTTAGCAAATTAATTAAACCGCATTCCAGCACACTCTCGGGATTTGTACTTACAGGAAATATTGTTTAATTGTCTGAGCACGTGGGCGAAATCCCATGATGGCCTGATAACTGAAATGGCCTCTTTATCAAACAGTGATCATAGTTTTCCACGGAAAATTTTCATGTTTCAGGAATTTCGTCGTTTGATCTCAGCTGATGTTTCAGTGAAATAAAAGGTTCGATCAGTGAGTACGTACAGATGAGAGCTCAGGGCGGACTGATGATGAATGCATTCGCGTGACCGGAAATGTATCACCTGATTATAACGGATTATAATTTATGTGTGGATACTTTGTAAAAAAATAATTCTTTGTATAACCAACACAATATCAGGTTTCTAACACCATCATTGTATCGAACAGGTTAGTTTAGGGTCACATCCAGAAATAGCATATTGGTAAGTGATTTGAAATTGGTGCCGTAAAGCAGGAACAGAAAATAAAAAGTAAATGTTTCAAATAATAAACGTAACTGTGGCACTGACTCCGGTGTCATATTGGCATACCCAAGTAATGCGCTTTTTTTATAGGTCCAATAAAGAATAACAATCTCTCTTGGTTTATAAGCTGATCGTGCATGTGCTAATCAAATTTGCGTCACACTTCTACGTTGTTGATCTATTTGTAGCTTCCATTGTAGTAAATGTATTGGGTTAATCTGTTAAGAAAACAATTCTGCAACAACCTTAACTGACAAAATTTGCACTTGCAACTGACTTCCAGTAAGAGAGAATTTGCTGCTGACTCTAGTGAATATCATTACTTCTATGACAAAACCATTATCGAAAGTCTAATGCTACACTTGCCTTTCACAATAAGCTGATTAACAGTTGTTTCTAGTGAACGAAAAATTTTGTCAAAAACTTTGACACCTCTATATTCAAGCTACTGGAGGTCCTGGAGTAAAACCAACACGCAACTCAGTCACCTATCGACACCTATCTGACGATCAGGCGTGTAACAGTGTACTAGGACAATGTAGCCAGTATTTCGCACGTCTGAGAATATGGAATTCGAAAGAAGCCCATCTTGACCGAGACGGAGATCACTGCGTGTTCGATCACGTTTTTAGTAGTTTGGAAAAAAATAGCATTCTTTCAGATTTAACTCATTTGAACAGCCGTACTTGAAATTTCTTTACGTTAATTCAAAGACAAATCTCGGTCCTTCAATCCTTTGTTTTAATAATGATTATGACGGAACTCTGAAACGTTTCCTAATAAGGAATTACCTTGGGAATATTGAAATCTCAGCAAAATATGAAAGCAAAGAAAATATGAATTACAAAAGAGATGGAATGATCATTAATAATTTCCGTTTTACTAAGGGAAACATGGTAGTAGTGTCGTGTATACCTATGCTCTTGCGTCAGATTCTCGGATGGATGACCACAAAAATGACGGTCGCTCGTGGAGAAGTTTATTTCGTCCTTATAGACATGTAGAGAGGAACCCTCCCAATTCGTCTAAAACAACAAATAAGCTGGCGACTAGCCTGTTCCAGCGCCGTTCAGATAGTGTAACAGGCTAGCTCGGGATCGTAGTTTGGATCATGACGATTTGTTTGATTACCGGTAACAAATAGCTCCAGTCATTTTTTGGTGCTCGTTAGATGTTACCACTTTTTACCAATCCACAATTCACGCGCACCCCTCTGCCTGGCTTCCACCATGCCACTCCAGTCATTTGAGAGCCCCCGGACTAAATTATAGAACTTTAGCCACTCATATTTTAGATCTCCGTGATAAGTTGAGAAAGAGTTTGCAGTTTTAACCAGACAAGAAACCTTTCAGACCATTAGTTAATGCAGTTTAAATGTTTTGGGGTATATATAGCACTTTGTATCTAATTTTATTAATTACGGGCAGTATCAACGTCATTAACACTATTTTTAAGGCTGAGAAAATCTGAGAACATTCTGGCCGGTATGTGGTAATTTTTGATAACTAAGACCTTTTATACACAAGCCATCTCAACTGTTCTTCGAGCCGTTATATTTTATCGAAGGGTAAAAACCGCGTGTCATGCTTTAGCCTTGCGTGACGCAAATTACCAAAATAACCTCTTGATGTAATGTTTTTAAATATTTTTCACACCTTTCATACAACGTGCAAATAACTGGAATAAATTGCTCAACAAGCGGATCACAGTTCTATTGTGAAAAGACAGATGTCGAAGCCAATCTAAACAACATTAAATCACACATTTCAGGTCTTAACAGCGAACTATGATTGAAGAAAATGAAATTATCACAAAAAACGGTGCAAAGCCACGAGCAAATGTGGTGCGCACGGTGGAGTTACGGTCGATTTGTCGTGAATTGTCATATCGTTTACCTCAGCTGATTTCGGTTCACACAAAAGCCTTTCCTCGGGGCAAATGTCTGTCTTCAGTTGATATTGTATGAATGATTTGGCAACGTATTGGATCAATATGCATTTATGTATATTTTCTGTATTAAATGTCGTATTTTGAATGCGGCCTTGTAAACAAAATACAGCTGCCTTAGCAATCCGTTTTGAAAAAGTCTCTGAGTAAATTGGCACTTGAATATTACAAAAGAGAAAAGAATTGCTAGATCTTGATGCTTGATATCCTACTGAAGGAGACCGGAATTTAAAGCACGATTCATCAAGTTTTCTAACATAAAAAGCATTGCTGCATGAAAAACGCCTTTATCTATGACTTCAAACCAAGGTAGATTCGATAAAATCGCATTTTGCTAACTCCAGTCAGTGGGCAAAAGGAAACCTGCGTTTCAAGAGAGACTCTACCTCGCTCATAAATTCATCTGGGAAAACTCCAGCATATTTTTGTAACTCGGCTGTACGCTTACTTGCCAAACAAAACGCATCGCATTGTTCACCATGAGAAGTGTAAGGTATCAAGGAAATTGTCAACTCTGCCGGCACGTGATTGGCGAATGAGTGAAATTGGCTTGCAGGGGGCGTGCGGCGGACCAATTAGCATGCACGATCATTGTTTCTGTACAGAACTCAACATCACAGGCACGGTTGAATTGAAAGCAATTTTAGCTTTTCACGTTTCCGCCTTGCTGAATAATGCCACGACGAGTAGCCTTAATGTGTTCGAAACTTTGCTTGGAGGAATTTTCTCGACCAAAATGACTATTTTTTTCGCTCACTAGACACCAGATATGAGTAGATCGCAAGAAAATTCGGCCCTTTTATCGACAAAAGTACACAGTATAGAGGCGAAGACGGGCAGTACGCGGCAACAGTTCGCCCATGAGGTATCAACAACAAATGCAATCTTTCGTCCGTCGAAGGTCTTTCCGTCGTTGTCGACACAGGAAAACAGTTCGAAAGCTGCATCTTATTCCTCAGCAGAAGCAGGACTTGGTAGGAATCCAGAACAGTTTATCCCGCAACTACAAGCTCACTATTATCCGCCAACAGTCCCGACTGCGGGTAAGTCTCGTAGTTTTCTTCGTTTGTTCAATTATTTATTGTATGAGTTCGTGCAAACCTAAGGCGGCAAACGGCTTTTATTATTTTTCTGAGTGTGCACTCGTGAGGAACATAACAACAACCACCACGGTTTGGCGTTTCAGTAATTTTTCGTGCATGATCGAAGGGGCGAATTTAGGATTATTCCATCGATAGACTTAGCAGTCTACGTAATCGACATTCAAAACGTTTTACCATGCATGGCTTGTTACCTTGGCTGATATTAGCTCGGTTGCAACGGCGCACAAATAACAACTATAAATTTGATTTTTCTGAATTATAAAACCAGCGGGTGTACGGAATTTTCGGGATAGTAGCAGTTTCAAAGTGTTCTGTGTGTCCTTGCTTGTCGCAAGTTGAAACGACTCTATGTGGAATCTGGACTTGAGATATGTTAGGCGAGTCAAGTTACGACCCTAGCAATTCTTTCGTATAGAGTTATTCTTACCTCGTGAGGTATACGTGACTAAACTCAACCTTAAATTGGATGGCTAAAAAATAACATTTACGGCTAGCACATTTGCTGTACAATAATGCATGGTTGATTCTGTCCATAAATTTCTATTTCGAGTTTTCGAACATGAAATCGCAAAGGGTGATTCCTTTCAGTTGCAGATCTCGCTCTCACATACACTGATTTTTGCGCCGTGTAGTGTGCATTAAATGCAAAGTCATGCTTGACGGAGGCCCTTCCTTGCAAAAGCAAGCGATAAGAAACCTAGTAATGCTCCTCTTAGTTTTGTTAATAAATTTTTGTCGAAGGATGTATAAACTTTGTCTGCCTGTCTCGTTTACCGCGTCAAGCATTTGAAGTGTTATACATTGCGACAATATCTACCCTCATGTGTTGCTACAAAGTGCAGAATTTTGAATTTTCCCATTCTTACAAAGCGTGGGCGAGCAAAATAAAAATACTAAAAACAGTCCAAAACGTTTTCTGTTCCGAACGCGATCTCTTTCAATCAGAGAAATCGTTACCCCCTTAATCGTCTTTGGCGTGGCTGTTCGTTGTCAATTCACTTCCTCAAAGGCGTCGACGAAATTGAGTTGCAACAACCGCGGAAAGGAAAGGATCTTTTAAACTAACCTGCCAAAGGCTACTATTATGCTTATTTATTACAGGAAAATTAGCAATGTGTGGATTTTACCGATAAAATACAGTCTGCTGGATTTTGATGCCATTGCCTTCGCGCGAAATTAGAGACGCCACACGCGATCTGGTGATATAGAGCGCGTGATGTAGACTGCATATGAGAGATATTCTTTCTTAGAGCCTTTGATATTTCATGCCACTTTGTTTATGTAAAAACCTTCAGTTTGCCTGCTCTGTTTTGATTTGTGTTGCGGTTTTTTTACGAAATTTGTAATGTTTAAGTTACTGCTTAATGCGCCTTTGTGTTTTTGCTGGGAGATAGATAGCTTCTCTTGTCCGTGACTCCGCCGTGTGTGTTTGCGGAAAATACTGTGCTTTGCTTTATCTCGTGAAATACTGACTGTTTCCCTATTTATGTATGTATGTATGTATGTATGTTACCACGGATTGACAAAAATCTCGACACAGGCTAAGACCCTGCTAAAGTAGCGTTCGATGATGTTGTACGTGCTCAGTACAATTCGAGAGAGACGTTTCAGCGGGACGAACGATCATTTCTTGAAAGGTTCTCGGATGTTCTTATATCTGCTCTACGGTTATTTGATATTTTGTTAACTTAGATAATTTTCCTTTGCCACTGTCTCAACACTCAGGGAAAATTAACGATCTGTTAAAAAGTCGGCTGGTACGAAGTAAAACAGCGCTTGTGGGCAGGTCGCGAAATGCTGTGCATTCAACCTTCGTTGGCGTGGAATAATTGAGCGCGAATAATATAAGTGTGCTGGTGACGACCTTAACTTTTTGCTAGGTAACCGCAGCAGTCACTCGCATAAACTATAATCTTCTCGAGGATTTAAGATCGAAACAGAAAACGAGTCCAGGATCGTCTCCTCAGAAATTGTTTCAAAAAGAAAATATATTCTTTTAAAGTGAATTCTGATTTTCCCAGGCTGAAGTCACAAGTGCATCTGTTTAGTGTATATGTAGGTGCGAAACCACTTTTTAGTGAGCAAGGTGCCGTTTATTTTGTAAAACAATTTTGATAATTTTGGTTGAGTTGTCCTCCGAGTTACGTATAGCGTGGTCACTTTACTCCCTAGCCCTCGTAATACAAAACCTAGGCATTTTCAATTTACTCATATAACCATAACAAATACCAGACGTTAGAATGTTGACATCCGTTTGAATTGAGTTGTGTCGATGGGCACCCGTGAATAGAATAAATTGCTTTCAGTTTAGCCAACTTTCTTGGGGTAGACTTGGGTAGAGTGACTTTTACCACAAAGGTGCGCTTCCACGAAAAACGCATTCCAAGTAGCCGAAGCCTACCGGTTCCATGGTTTGTTTTATCGAAGTTACTCATCGTGTCGCTGTTTCCATTGTAATTAAGATCAGTCCTCGCGCATCCTTAAGCAGAACGCGCATTGTCACTGTGTGTTTAATGTATAAATAGAACGTAAGTTCTTATTGGAATGCAAATTCACGCCACTTGCCAGATCGGCTGTCGAGTTTTAGCTTGTTTACATTATTTGGAGCTGTAAAAGATCCCCGCTCTTTCTCGAAGACTTAAACACAGAGACGATTTCTGTGGCTGTAGATATTTCCAAGCATGATAGCAATGCCAGAAAAAATTCCTCAATGGATTGATACTGAAAGTCTGAAATGCGCTTAAAGCCCATTTAAAATGTTACGTCATACCAATCTTTTATGAACTATGATCTCCATCTAAACTACAAGAGACCTTTGTTTGAATTTGTTTGGAAAACACAATTTCAGGGTTTTTTTCCGGGTCTTCTGATCCTACTTTATTACTATAAACGTGCTTGAAACACGTTTTTAAATGTAAAAGCCTTATATAATGAAGAACGTATTTCCAGCTGAACGGACGCTAACCTCGGCAACATCTTTTAGAGCAGCTGGGATATGAGAGGCTGCATTTCCTTTGCAGTTGAACTGAGGTTTTCCTTTTGGCAAAGTGCCCTTTGAACGGCTTTTCACGGAACGGAAGATAAATTAACTGTCTGTGGATAAGGAACATTCGAAAGAAAAACAAAAAAACAGCTTTTTTTTCTGGGAACCGCGACGAAAGCGAAAAGCACATGCCCACGTGCCTCTTGTATATCAGCTATCAGTTAATGAGTTAGATTTCAAATTTGACAGCTTTAAGAAAATTATATTTTAAAAGGTCTGAAAGCAAACAGAGCAGAAACGTACAGTTCAAAAGCTTGCAACTGAAAGGTTGTAGTCATCGTTGAAAAAACACCTCATTGAAGACATTATCAGTACTTGTTGTAGAGAGCCAACCTCGAGAGAGGGATAGAGAATTGTGTAAACCACCTCGAAAATCTTAATTCATACTCCATTCAAAAACGTAATTGTGCCCAATTGCTTTTATTCGGGAAAGTCTCGTTTGTTTTTTTCTGTCTAAAACGTCGAAGCAGGAGCCGCCTTTTGGAGCATTGAAAACGTAACGCTTCTGAAAACATGGTGTTTTCATTTACTCGTCTTGTCTTTCACTTATAGACTTATTCAGAATTCAAAACTACAAGATCTCAGATAAAACGTTAAAGCGCCCTTTTCATCCTGATTTAAATCGAGTTTTCCCATGGATTCTCAAGGCACTTTCAATTGCCGTAGTTTCTAACGATTGTTCCCTGGCTTGCTTACTTAGAAAACAAACTACTAAATTAGCTAGGAAAAATTAAAAAGAGTATTATTGGTACTCCATGGTTCTTTTTATCGATTAAGTTCGATCTTATACAAAACCTTTAGTTGATCAGAAACACGTTTGTGCTTATTTGCACTCGCCGCTATATTGGATGAAAACCGTAATCTTCAAAAACAACTAGTGCCTATGGGGATATTTCTAAGAGTGGAGACGAGATATGAAGTCACTGGACGTACGCTTATTTCCATGAGTAAATTATTATAGTAAACTGTACTTTTCTTTCCCTTGACGTTTCCGTTTAACTATTAACCTAGATTAGTCACCAGAACTCACGATGTATTTTTTTACATAGAGGATTCGGTAGATATCTTATCTACGAAAAACTTTTTTCATACGACATGCAGCTCTGTTTAATATCGTTTGTTGTGGTTTTGAATAATCGGCGATCATTAAGACCCTTTTCACTGACCGAGAAAACACCACCGTATATTTGTTTCCGTAGTACGTATTTTTAGAAACTTTTTGTTCTTTGAACGTCAACCACAGTTTGTCCGTTATAGTTTTCTGGAAGAGGTGTATAGGCAAGACAAAATGTAATATTCACTATTTGTGAAATGCATCATGCGATATTATTGCCTTGTCAATGGCTGTTCACATTTCCCAGAGATCGCGCGTTCAAAGATTTTTCAATCTTGCATGTTGTCACTGAGCCTTAAAACGAAAATGGCAGCGCAAAAAGTTGATAAAGATGTTATTAAAACTGTTATTAAAATGAAATAAGCTTTGACAAATGCAAAATGCAACCGTTTATTAAAGGTTATGTTTCGCGTTATTCAGTGGCGTGTCGAGTCTTGCGCGCGTGTTAGTTAAAGCTTTCTAAACTTGAGTTTCGTAAGGTGCTGATCGCAAGTTCAGTATTTTGCCTCTCTGGTCTATTGACAGGACGAGACCTGCAGGTACCCGGCCGCCAATTGTGTGAAAAGTGTTTTCGATATCCATGCAAGACGATGTCATAAGCATTAATTTGTTCCAAATAACACGTGCTAAATAAAGGTTTCCATTTGCCCTCGAAATACTGAACTCAGACTTCGAACGTAAATTGTCGTCTGCGAATATAGGGCAAGTTTGTGTTGCACAGCGAAAAAAGTTGTCAACGTCAGATCTTGTTTACAACACACAATAAAGACTAAAAGTGCCTGAGCAAAAAATTTGAATAAAGGAAAAGATTTACATAATAATTATCAAACCACTATGGAGTGCTCCCGCTGTATTCCGTAGCTTATTTGCGCGTTTCGCACTTTTTTATGTGTATATGTTAAGTGGCGTTCAAAAGACTTGACCCCTTTATCCGTAAGAAACATGTGTCTTCGCGGTTTCCTCAAATTTTGATTAATGTGGACATCGCGAGGACTTTAATCGTGACAGAACAGAGGTAGTAGATTGTTCTTGAAGCTGTGTTCAAGCAGGTAAGTTTAAAGTCGTACGCATATGTCAGCTACAAGCTCCATCAAAACAATGATTTTTTGTTGCGTTTATAGCCGGTTCCTTTTTTAACGGTGCATGGAGAGTTTGTACTAAACTAGGTTGAAACTACTGAATGTGGAATTGAGCTTTTGTACTTTGTTAAAGATTCGGTAAAATTCTCGTCGGGAATCTATTTCACATAATGTTTATTTGGACTGCCTCATGTCGGAATAAGTTATTCCGCTGCGTGTTTCTCGAGACAATTATTTTGAAAATGTGAAGGCCTTTTATCGGTGAAAAAGCTATCGGGTGCTTAAATGGTGCATAGACGAAATATTTTTCACTCAGGCGTCGAGTGTACTCTGTCTTGGTGAGTATTTCAGGCCTATTCTTAATATTCGATAACCTGACAGATAAGTCGACATGCTACCAACTGAATATTTCCAGTCGAAGATTTTTCCTTAGTTTTTCACCTCATTATTTTTGTCATTAAGATTTTCCTCAGTTT